CGCGCCCTTGAATTCCGTGCCAAAGGGGGGGGGGGATGTGCAACGCGGCTCTGCCGTGCTAAGTAAGAACGCCGTATGATCATTTGAGAGCTGCGAAATTTCCTTGAATGTAATGTTTATTTTCAAGGAAAGTTACGAATATTTTTCTTTGAAAATTTCAGGAACTTCAGGAGAAACTGCGAACAAAATCATATGAAAAATTGGAGGGAAAATATTCATAAGTTTACCAGGAAATTCGTGTTTTATCAAAGGCAATTTGGCAACGCCTGGAGGTTCATACGGCGTTGTTCCTTAGCACGGCGGTGCTGGCCCGGTCCCTAGAGGCCGCCGCTTTTGATTTTGGGAAAACCCGGGGGAGCCAAGACCCGCTAAATTGGGTCGCTCGGATTTGAATGCGACCGTGCTTCCGATGGCGCACAGTGGGACGAGCCGATAGAAGAGGTCGGACATGAATTTTTGGCTAAAATTTCGAATTTTGTTGTTTATACCGTCACAAATTCAATTTCAAGAGGTGTTGCTGAAAGAAAATTTCACGAAAAAACCAGTAGAAGCACCCTTGAACGTTTTTTGTTTCATATTTTCGAAAATATTAGCTTTCAAAGTTTCCAGTTTCTGTCCGACTTCTCCTATTGACTAGGTCCAGTGTGCGACGATCCGTGTCCGGAGCCGAGAAACACGGCACGTGGCACGGGACTACTCTCGTGAGGCGTTAACAGATTGTTTTTCTTCCATTTGGACGTGTTTATGCTAAAAGGAACTATGTGCATAGGATTTGCGTGAGACATAGTTCCTTTTAGCATAAATATGGCTATTTGATGGGTCTGATGCAATTTCAGCTAGAACAAAAAGAAGTTAAAAAAAAAATTGGTGAGCCCTCGCACACCACCACACATCATCCTGCGGCCGACTGTTTGAGGATTATGTAGCATCGCGTCCATGATATTGGACTCCATGCTCAACCTTGATAAACTTGCCTGCTCATCTCGTCTAAGATCTTGGACTCCATGCTCATCGCTAAACTTCTCACTTCTTTGCTTGAGCATGGAGTCCAATAGCAAGTATAGACCATTCTTAGTTTTAAAGTTCATCATGATAGAAAATCGTATACTTCTCTTATCTAATCTAACTTGAACTAACCTAACCTAACCTAACCTAACCTAACCTAACCTAACCTTACCTGACCTAACCTAACCAATGCACAATTCTTTTACGAAAACACATTTGTCCGTCTTTATTTTACAAAACTTGTCTTGATAAATTTTTGAACCATATGCTCGTGTGTTGTCAGAGAATACCTGCATCCCACAATTTTGGATGCTATGCTCACTTCGATTTTTCTAAAAAAAATTATCCCTCATTAAAGTGAGCATGGAGTCCAAGATCTTGGATGTGATGAGCAACCGAATACCATATAGGTGAGCATGGAGTCCAATGTCATGGACGCGATGCTACATTACCCTGTTTGAGACTCTAGGCCTTAAAAGGCGTCACGGTTGATTCACGTCAGCGACACGTCGCTGTTTCTGCCGGAAAATGAGAACGAACTCGAACGAAAAAAAAAAAAAACTCTCGGAAGTTTTGCGAAAATTTGCGGAAATTTGCGTGCAACTTTTTTTAATGGGACTCAAGGCCAGCCTTAATTACGGTATCAATGCCATTTCGCACGGGTCTCGGAGTAAATGTAATGGAATCATCATGAAATATCAACGTGAGACTTTGGTTGCTAATGAGCCATAATGTCGGAAACTCTCAAAAACCGATTTTCAATCAAAATGACTGGATAGGAAAAAATAATCAAGTTAGGTATAGTATGTTTAAAAAATGTTAAGTTGGAAAGGCTGATGCGCGTGGAAGTGCTTACAAATTAACGAGAAAAATCAGACAGTGAATCATCACTAATATAAACTTCGGAGGATTCCACTTTTTCCCCGCACATTTAATCCGTCGCCAGATTGTCTGATAAATATACATAAGAGTTTATTATTCAAATTACAAGTTGTACAATAAGACGAGCTTATGCGCCCCTCAGTATTGATAAACCTTAGAACTAGTTTTTTTAGACTTATTGCGTAAGTCTCTAAAAACATTAAAAGACAATGATAAACTTAAGCGATTTGAAGACAAGAGAAAGATGACAAGTGGCCTATTATATAAATAGTTGGAACTCACTGGAAAAAGAAAGACAATACTCCTAAAAGTACACGTCAATAAAAACCAGTGTTTTAGATTGTGAGGCTGGGATTAAAAAATAAACCCTAGAAGACGAGTGTTAGCGTTTTAAGGTAATTCTAGATCACCATAACATTTCTTGGAAGATTTGGCTGTCTCATTAGCCTGGACTAAAGAGACGAGGGTTTCAACTTGTTTAACTAACATTGTGACTTGGTTTTGAAGCTTATTACTGATCTCATTTTGGGAATTAATAATTTTGATAAATTGGCCCATGCTCATAGATGCTTTATCAGGCGAGGCCGTCTGTGGAGCATTACCCCCCGACCCCCCTTTCGTGGCCGAAGCGTACGAGCGTTTCCCAGCCGATGCGGTGCGCGGGGTTGCCACACTGGTCACCGGTTCGGCTGCTTTTGTTTTTCGAAGATCCTCAAACTTGCGTTTTCGGATCTCACGATAAACCTTACAGCCTGTCCAGTTGGCCGTATGATGTTCCCCGCACAACGCACAGGTGGGAGGCACTTCAACACTCTTCGTACACTCAGAGGTATCGTGAGGCCCTGCGCACTTCAAGCATCGCGGATCCTTCTCGCAGTATCTATGAGTATGTCCAAAGATAAATGTCTGATAAATGTGAATATTTTACATGGGTTTGAATGGGAGGAAACGCTGAAAAAGCAGCATATTTAGCAAAAGTAGAGTCTGAGAGGAATAAGAGGCTTCCTTCCTGGGAAAATTAGCCTTTTTAATTTTAATCACTGTGTAATTTGTTTTATTATTGTTTTCTACCATATCGACCGATTATAATGGAGAAGAAAGTCGCAAAATAGCTGCACAGAGCCATATTATAAGCCTTAATCGACCAGGTTCAAATCTAGCGATTATATCGATCCTCGAAAAGTCTACGATAGACCTTTTTCAACCCATCAGAGAGCAGCTTAATTTTCCCAGGTAAAAAAAAAAAAAAAAAAAAAAAAAAAAAAAAAAAAAAAACAGGCTACTTTTTTTCTGAAAATGGCTGCTGTCTCTACGCAAAGTGCACGCACCCGTGCAAAGTATAGTGCAAGTGCTATATGTCATTAGCGTGTCTCTGCAGTGCTCGATGACGTATATGGCAAAGAGCAACCTTATTAGTCACTCTAATGATGACTCTTTTTCCAACCCCAAATTAAATTTCATCAAGACTAAAAAATTAACGGTAAATCTGTAGTGCCTTGTGAAGCAAACTATGAGTTATAATCTCGTGTGTGTTGTGAAGTTAAAGTGAAGATCCAACATTTTTCTCCCGTGCACTGTTTTCCATTTTATCACATAATCGGTAATCCATACTGAGCATTTTAATTTAGTTATAGTTAATTTATTTAAAGACATTCAGCGTCACACGCTATTAACGTTTTTACAAAGAATTTGGAAGATGGGTGTACGTATCACATTGATATCGATTTTAAACGACGGACGTAAATTCGCTTTATTGTTTTCGGTGGCACTTTCCATGGCGAAGCAGAATACCCGACACCAAATTTTAAAAATACCATCACGCCGGTTTTTATTTACACATCGAAAGCTTGCAATAGTTTCGTGGCTTAGTTGATTTTAGATCAACGATACTTTGACCCCTACTTCTTACCGTTACAGTTTTGATATTATTGCAGAGTTCTTAAATTCCACTGATTACATTATGAATACAGTGCTCGGCATGGAACGGATTTTTTCGGCTGTCTTCAAAATCTTATCTCCAATCCAAAGAGTGTAATGCAAAAACGGCTTTTTTTGTCAAATGCTCAGGCAAATTGCCAAATATTCTAACTTAGATTGAAATTCTGCCTCTTTTCCCAATTTTCGACAAAATAATTAATTTCTCCCGTAAGAAGAAATTCTCAGTAAAATTTGCATCGCACAATAGTGTTTTAAGCCATTTTTTGCTCCCGCTCAGGCACTTATCTGGAAATTTTCCAAATGTTATAAAATACAGAATTTTTAGAATTTCATCATTTAAAAATATCATTTCAATATTCAAAAAATATTGAAAACTCGCGAGCTCCTCGCCATAAATTTACAAAATTTTATAGACCGTCAAATTTAACTATCTACCTAGGCATTTGATAAAATGCCTGATTTCACTGTTTGCCTACGACAAATATACCGGGTACTTTCAGAGTATTAAGTAAAAAACACAAGGGTTAGTGACTATATAGCTAGTAAGTACGGCTTCCGGATCTTTTTTTTCAGTGTGCCGGAAGTATGCATCGGGAAGTGGTGTATTCGTTAATTCTCCTCACCACCATCATTCTCAACGTTGGTTTCGACGCACGCAGAATATCACCCAGGTCACCAATTCGAAGGTCTATTTCACGCAGCCATGCCTCACCGTCATTCGGTATCGTTCCATCTCCGAAGAGATCAGCCACTCCTTTCCAAACTCAATCCCCGAAGAGATCAGCCACTCCTCTCCGAACTCAACTCCCAAAGAGATCAGCCACTCCTCTCCGAACTGCAACCCCAAAAAACCCGTCCACTCCTCTCCGAACTTCAACCCCAAAGAGGCCGTCAACTCCTCTCCGAACTTTAACCCCGAAGAGGCCGCGTACTCCTCCACGCAATGCAATCTCGAGGGCCACTGAACTATCAGTCCTGGCAGCGGAGGAACTGAACGCTCGCTTCAAGGATGAGGTCGGAAGTTGTCGGGGCCCGCAAGGCGAGGAGCGACCTGCGTATGATGTTCCGGCATCATGTTCCGTGGTGTGCGCTGGGACCGCAAGCCCTATGCTTGGAGCATGAGTCCCAACAACCTGGAGAAACAGTCGTTCTCCATGGCCTATCTACGCCGCGACGCGCAATGGTCCGGTCTTTTATTGGACCAACACGACACTGGATTCATCATGTAAGCATACCTTCTTCACGGAAAGAAATTAAATGTTGATTTAGCATTTATACTGTTAAAAATATATCCGACAAGTTTCAAATGCTGATTTTACATTTTAATAAATGCTAACGTAACTACGCCCACTGCAAAACGTACAAATTAAAATGTTATGTTAGCATTTTTGTATTGTAAAATCAGCATTTGAAACTTGTGGGGCATTTTTTTAACAGTATAAATGCCAAATCAACATTCAATTTTTTTCCTTGTTCCATCATAATATGTATGGTAGTCTGCCGTGCTGAGGAAAAACGCCGCATGAACTTTCGAAAGTTGCCAAATTTTCCCAGATAAATCATGTATTTTTGACAACTTTCATGCATATTTTTCCTTGAAATTTTCAGGTATTTTAGATTAAATTACGAACAAAAGTGTCTGAAAGTTTTGGACAATAATATTAGCAATTTTTCCAGTAAATTCAGCGTTTATCGAAGGAAAGTTGGCAACGTCTGGAGGCTCATACGGCGTTTTTCCTTAGCACGGCAGTATGATATTGAAGTTACGTAACCGAGTTCTTGATGCCGTCCGCGTAAAAGCTCTCACCTCGCCTTGGCTCCGAAACCAGTCATTGACAGCGATCTGCACTTCCAAAGCAGTTGCTTTGCGTCGGGAAATCTTCCCCCAATCCTCCATACTCTCTTGGTTTATCCTTATGTGACTTTCATCTGTTCCCGAGCGGAAAAACTTCCATGATGAAAAGCGATTGCCAACCGATTCAGAGGTTCAGATCGCTGTCAAGGTAGGGAACCTTTTTGGCGCGTATACGTAGTATACCGCCTTTGCGATCGTTTCGACCCCCCCCCCC